CCAGTCTGGGCGACAGAGTGAGACTCCAACTCAAAAAAAAAAAAAAAGAGGAAACAAAGACCTAAATATTTAAGAAGGACCAAAGAAGAGCTTAGCTAAGATAATTCAATTCTGCCAAGCCACTCTTAAACCGTATTCCTCTTATTTCTCACAGTGTTTTTGGTTTTTTTGAAAGTCTCACTCTGTTGTCCAGGATGGAGTACAGTGGCATGATCACAGCTCACTGTAACCTTGAGCTCCTGTAAAGGACCCTCTTCCCTTAGCCTCCCGAATAGCTAGAACTACAAGTGTGAGCCACCATGCACAGCTAATTTTTTAAAAATTGTTATAGAGGCGGGGTCTCACTACGCTGCCCAGGCTGACTCTCAACATTTTATAGTCCTCATTTCTCCTATGGTTGTTGTTGTCTCTTAGAGGCAGTTTCTCTACCTGTACAGGTCAGTCAGAGCCAAGAACCGCAATGATTAATTCAACAGTATGTGTGAGCACTGCAGCACTAACACTTGCTTCAAAGGACAGCATGTCCTTGCCAATCAATGTGAAACTGCCCTGCATAGCTACCATTTCCATTTAAGAGCAAGGAACACCTGGGTTGTCACTCCACCTTACCACACTGGGGAAAAAAAATATCTTCTGATACAGAATCAGTATCAAAACTGCAATGGTTAGATAATTTGACTTCTAAGTCAAATGGGGCATTTTTTTTTTTGTCTCTAAGTTCAGGCTATCCCCAAAATCTCCTACTTGTGTGACCCAGCAAAGAGGGAAACAAGCCATCTAACAATATAGTCAAACGGTGTCTACAGCTGCCAGAAAACGTTCTATTTTTCCACAAACCTGCCTTTCACTAAAAAGACATACTGTAAGAGGGAGAGCGTTAAAAGGTGAGAAAGGAGCTAGCAGAGCTGAGTTCTTCTACTACGCTAGGCTCTGCCAAGCACTTTCCATATCCATCCCTCACAGCAGCCCGACTGGACAGAGGCGTCACTGGCCCCAGCATTACGGAAGGGGGAATTGAGGCCAGGAAAGGCAAAGTAACTGCTGACCACAAAGCTCACAAGCAGATGACTTAGGTTCAAACCCAGGCCTGTTTGGCATCAAAACCTTCAGTAATCTTATTCTACCACGTATGGCAGAAACAAAACTTCCCCTCTACACTGTTCCTGGAAGCTGATCCTGCCAGGTATAAGGAGACGATCTGGTTTTGTTATTCTTCTCTAGGAGGCAGGAGAGTCAAGTGGGTCTGGAAGTTCTAGCTGCTATCTATTCCATGTTTAGTCACTAAGCTTTTCACAAATCCAGGTTCCTCTGTTTATGAATCTTACAAGAAAATCTGTGAAGTTTGAAAAACAGCAAAGCTCTTTGGGCACCAGGGTGAGGGAATCTACACACCCTAAAAGGTCCTGAATTACTGAAAGTGAGAAGTGAATGAACAGGTACTTAGCATTTAAAAATTCACCAGGGACAGGGCTCGGTGGCACAGCCTGTCATCTCAGCACTTTGGGAGGCCGAGGTTAGTGGACTGCCTGAGCCCACGGGTTGGAGACCAGGCCGGGCAACTTGTCCGGTGAGAACTCGTCTCTACGATAAATAAAAAATTAGCTGGGTATGGCAGGGTGTGCCTGTAGATTCAGCTACTTGGAAGGCTGAGGCAGAAGGATCGCCAGAGTCCAGCAGGTCAAGGCTGGGGTGGCCACGAGTGTGCTACTGCACTCCAGCCTGGGTGACGGAGTGAGACTGCAACTCAAAAAAAAAAAAGTTCACTAGGCACAGGGATGTTATATGACACCAATGTCACTGGTGCTCACACTCAGCACTGTATTCCTCTGTATTCATCACCAGCTCTATAAACTGCAGAGAACGTACCTTCAACTATTAATGTATCCCAGGGAGTAATCTATTGTCTTATTATGAGATCACTTCCAACCACTGTAGATAGGCAACCCAGAAGGTTTCTGAACTTTCTCTTATTAAAATAAGATTTTTTCCAGGACCATTAAAACGGTCTATTTAAATATTAACTGCTAGAGAGAAACCTCACAAGAGGAAAATACAAGCCAGTCAGCTTTACTAGGACCATGTAGTCAGGAATCTGGTCTCTGCAGAGCTGCTTCTACTTCTTTTAAAATACTGCACAGCTATTTCTCAAAAGAGGTACTTGGATACTGAATCTTGATTTCTTAAAGGGTTGCTCCTTCCCTTCAAACGTCAAAAGAAACCTCGCCTCAAGAAATGAATACAGTGAAAATAACCTGCAAATCACCAGGCCCCCTGCTCCCTCCCACCCAGTTCTGTGTAGCTTAGAAACCCCTTTGTTTCCATCTTTCCCCCTTATCACAGGACTCTCAACACAGTTCACTCAAAAACTGACTGGCTACACCAGCCGTATGACTGAGTAGCTTCTTTTGAGTCGGAGTCTCACTCTTGTTGCCTAGGCTGGAGTGTGGCAGCACGGCTTAGGCAATCCTTCCGCCTCAACCTTCCAAGTAGCTAGAACTACTGACGCACGCCACCACACCTGGGTAGTTTTTGGAATTTATTGTAGAGACAAGGTCTCACCAAGTTACTCAGGTTGGTCTTGAACCCCCAGGCTCAGGCAATCTCCTCGCCTTGGCTTCCCAAACGGCTGGCTGAACCACTGCATCTGGCCCTTCTATGAACTCTTCTGAGATGCCAACTAAGGGAAACTCTTAGGCAAGACATTCTGAAAACATCACTTCCAAAGAAACCTGACTACTGTCGGAAATAAAATCAACAAGGCCTACAGTTCTGCCATGGTTGTTCCAAGTATCTCAAACATTGCTGGGCAATTCTCTGTCACTAGTAAGCATTAGTAAACAGTCGCAATACATTACAAAACAGTAAAATAATAACTGTTCCCATGTCATGCTTCTACTTGTGACAAATCTCTGCTCCATGTTTTATATTTTTTATCTCATCTAATCTGCAGAGCAACTCAGTAAAACACGGGCCTTGCCTCCGTTTTACATTTGAAGAACGGAACTTCAGAGACGCACTTCCCTGCTCCACTTCTCTAATGCCCTAGGAGTCTATCATTACATTTGTCAGGTCACATTATACTTACAATTATCTGTTTATGTGTCTGTCTCCTCCCTTACCAGAACCCTCTGAGGGCAGAGACAATGTTTTTCCTTTTTGGTCTTTGCATCCTAAGAGTCTAAAATAGGGGCTGGGCACAGAGGCTCAAGCCTATAATCCCAGCACTTTGGGAGACCGAGGTGAGGGGACTGCCTGAGCCCACAGGTTTGAGAACCACCTAGGCAACCTGGCTAGACCTCATCTCTGCAATATATCAAAAACTTAGCTGGGCATGGTAGTGCGCCTGTAGTTCTGGCAACTTGGAAGGCTGAGGCAGAAGGAGTGCCTGAGCCCAGTGGATCGACGCTGGGCTGGCCACGAGCGTGCCACTGCACTCCAGCCTGGGTGAAGGAGTGAGATTCCAACTCAAAAAATTAAAAATAAATAAAAATAGGCTGGGCACAGTGGCTCACACCTGTAATCCCAAAACTCTAAAAGGCCGAGGTGGGAGGACCACTTAAGCCCAGAAGTTTGAGACCAGCCTGGGCAAAACAGCAAGATCTCATCTCTACCAAAAGAAAAAAAAATTAGCCAGGTGTGGTGGCATATGCCTGTAGTCCCAGCTAATCAGGAGGCTGAGGAGGGAGGATCGCTTGAGCCCAGAAGGTTGAGGCTGCAATGAACTGTGATTGTGCCACTGAGCCTCAGCATGGGAAACAGAACGAGAGCCTGACTCAAAAAAAAAAAAGTCTAAAACATGACCTGGCACAAAGTATACAAACTACAACTAGTTGCCTAATAAACGAATAAAATGACAAATTAATGTGCCTGCATCATGACGTAGTAGGGCTGGGATTCAAAGCCATGTCTGCTAATTCAAATGCTCAAGCGCCCCTGTATTACATCATACCACCTCTCAATAAACAAGAAATTTTTTTTTTTGAGTTGGAATCTCACTCCACCCAGACTGGAGTGCAGTGGCACGCTCCCGGCCACCGCAGCCTCAACCTGCTGGGCTCCGGCGATCCTTCCGCCTCAGCCTTCCAAGTCGCTGGAACTACAGCCGCACGCTACCATGCCTGGCTAATTTTTGATTTATTGTAGAGACGAGGTCTTGCCAAATTGCCCGGGCGGGTCTCAAACCCTCAGGCTCAGGCAATCCACTTGCCTCGGCCTTCCCAAGTGCTGGAATTACAGGCTGAGCCACCAAGCCCGGCCAAACAAGAAATTTTAGGGTACACAGCCCTATATTCAGATTCTAAGGCAAGAGCCTACACCCTTTATGATACAATCTTTGTGCACAAAAAATGCTCAATTCTATCTAATAAGTGACTCTTGTAACTAGTAAGTGATTACTCAATGACTTAAAAACTACAATATCACTAACTTCTTTTAATGTAAATGTCTACAACTACTTAGGGACATTCGCAGATATCCGCAAACAGCAACAATGAAGAGTGGACATCCAATGTGAGGAAGGCTACACAAGTCCATCTATGTGATATGGAATAATGCAGACATGTATACAGCAAGTTCTAAACAGGTTTCATGCTCTTTGACTCAAACAAAGAATAGTCTCCAGTTTCCCTTGCAATCATGGATGGCTAAGAAGCTAGCCATGATTAACTAATGAATGGCTTACAGGGCTTCTTCTCCATGTTAGGATGACTATGTTAATAACACTCTTTCCCCTCATTCCATTTAGAAGATTCTGTTTCCTCCCTGGGAAAAGGATCCAGAGGCCATTTTGACATCATCTAACAGATCCATCCTCAGTTACTCTGCTGCAGCGGGTGGCATCTTTCCTACCACCACTGGCATCAGGGACTCTTGGTCTGTCAGTTGTGACAGATCAGGTTCCAGAGAACCAGGCTGTGTGCATGAATCATGAAAGCAGAATTTCTACCAAGTTATCTGCAGTGCAAAGACTAACAAAGGGATCTAACTTATACTGTGAAAACTGTTCTCAAAGAAACCTAGAGCATAAAAAGAAATAAGAGAATTAAATCTTTTTTAAGGTACACAGGATAAAACAGTATACACAAATGTAACCAAAGTCTTTATTTCCACAGAAGGATTTATTTAATTCCCAGGCTGCTTTTCACAGCAACAGATTTTAAAGATTTTAAATTAAATTCTTTAAAAGAATTTTGGGTAAACTGTTTTATCAGACTCTACATGAAAAGGACACATTAAGAATTTGAATCATGGGCTGGGCTTGGTGGCTTAGCCTGTAATCCCAGCACTTTGGGAAGCCTAGGTGAGTGGACTGCCTGAGCCCATGGGTTCAAGACCAGCCTGGGCAACTTGGCAAGACTTCCTCTCTACAATAAAATTTTTTAAAAAATTAGCCGGGCACGATAGCGCACGCCTGCAGTTCTGGCTACTTGGAAAGCTGAAGTGGAAGGATTGCCAGAGCCCAGCAGGTCGAGGCTGTGGTGGCCGGGAGCGTGCCACTGCCCTCCAGTCTTTTTTTTTTTAAATAAAATCTTTAAAAAAAAAGAATCAGCCAGGCTCAGTGGCTCAACCTGTAATCCCGCGCCTTTGGGAGGCTGAGGTAAGTGGATTGTCTGAGCCTGCGGGTTCGAGACCCGCCTGGGCAACTTGGTGAGACCTCATCTCTACAATAAATCAAAAAATTAGTCGGGCATGGTAGTGCGTGCCTGTAGTTCCAGCTACTTGGAAGGCTGAGGAGGAAGGATTGCCAGAGACCAGCAGGTTGAGGCTGCGGTGGCCGGGAGCGTGCCACTGCCCTCCAGCCTGGGCGACAGAGTGAGACTCCAACTCAAAAAAACAAACCAAAAAAAAGAATCTTAATCATAAGTATGAACCTGTATCAAACAGCTTTATGGCTGTTGCCAGATATGCAAAGGTAGGAAAGGTAACAATGCAAATAAAGATTTGCTTATTTTATCATGCAGCTATCTTGATGCTGTGTTACTGAACACATCAAGAAATTAGAGGTGAAAGTCATGCACACATCATTATACATAGTAATTTTTTCCAAGATTGTTCATCTCTGTTACTTATTAGTATATAATAGAAAATGCCCTAGAATTTTAGTTTCAAATTTTAAAATTTGTATTCAAATTTTAGTCCTACCATTATTAGCAGTATAAATTACAGCAAATTACTTAAATATCCTAAGTCTCTCTTTATCTGTAATAGAAATAATAATATGCATAAAAGTACTCAAGAAATGGCAACTACTGTTAATTTTAGAAACAGTGCTAAATGGATCTTAACTCAGGCATCCCGAAGACGAAAATCCTCTGCCACCTAAATCTTTTCAGCTAATGTTAACGTTGCAACAGAAAGGAGACCATAAACATAAAAAAAACACAGAGAAAAATTAGAAGAATATCTACCTTCTTATCTGCCATTATTCTTCTTTTTTCTTTCATGGTCTCTCTGCTTCCTGGAGAGACTTCACTTTTAAGGTCAAGGGTTTCAGAGGTGCTTGGCTGTGTCTCTGTAGTTTAATAAAATTAAAATCCTATTAATTTTCATTTTGTGTTTTCATAGTTAAATAAACACAACTATTTTCCCTAAAGTTTAGGGTCTGCTAATGCTGCAGTGGCAATACAGATCTAGTTTGTTTCTTCTTAAAGTTTTAAGGCATAATTTACATATAACATAATTCACCAATTTTCAAATACAGTTGTGCAAGTTCTGACAAATGTATACCATGTAAATACCACCAAAATCAAGATATTAAACATTTCCAGCGCCCCAAAAAGTGCTCATGTGCCCCTCTGCAATCAATTCCCTACCACTATGGTCACTAAAAGGAACTCCTTACAATAATCAGTCTACTCTATGTTTCTAGTTTGACCTTTTCTAGGATGTCATATGCATGGAATCACAAGCATACAGTCCTTTGCGCCAGCTTCTCTGACTCAGTATAATGTGTCTTAGATGCACCTGTGTTGTTACATGTATCAGCAGGCCCTGCCTTCTACTGCTGAGTAGTATTCCATTGTATCCATTCACCAGTTCATCCGTTAGCTAATGTCCACTGCAGTTCTAGCTTTAAAGTACATTAATTATGACAGGAAACAAAAGCCTGTCAATGTCAGTGCTGAGGTTAAAGGTGATTAGAAGGCTGGGTGCAGTAGCTCATGCCTGTAATCCCATCACTTTGGGAGGCTGAATCAAGAGGACTGCTTAAGCCCAGGAGTTTGAGACCAGCCTGGGCAATATAGCATGACCTTGTCTCTACAAAAAAAAAAAAATCAAAAATTATCAGACAGCTGTCTTATCACTGTTCAGCCCACTGCTTCCTTGCAGCACAGTCAATAAACCTGTTTTACTACTCTAAAAAAAAAAAAAATACACACAGCCAGGTGCTAGCCTATAATCCTAGCACTTTGGGAGGCTGAGGTGAGAAGATTGCCCAAGCCCATGTGTTTAAGACCAGCCTGGGCAACTTGGCGAGACCTCATCACTATAATAAATTTAAAAATTAGCTGGGCATGGTGGCATGCACCTGCAGTCCAGCTACTTGGAAGGCTGAGGCAGAAGGATCACCGAAGCCCAGCAAGTCAAGGCTGCAGTGGCCGTGAGTGTGCCACTGCACTCCAGCCTGGGTGATTAGAGTGAGACTCCGACTCAAAAAAATAATAAAAAAATTAGCCAGAAGTGGTGGCACACACCTGTAGTCTCAGCTACTTAGGAGGCCAAGGCAGTAGGAAAAAAAAAAAAAAGACGATTAGAGAAAACAGAAATAAGGACCAGAAATAGAATATACATTCTTGACAAAGATCTGCCTTTCCTTAATACACTTCTTTTTTTTTTATATATATAAAGATATGGGGTGCAATTCAGGGTTCGGTATACAAATGTTGATTATGCAGGTACCCTTGTTTATGAGGTATGTCCTTAATATACTTCTTAAGCAGCATTGATTCAACAACTAGTAACTAAACAGTAAGTCTCAGGCACTGTACCAGCTACCAGTAATATGGAGCTGTAAGATGGGATCCCTTGAGGTCTAATTCAGGAGCCAGAAAACTACAGACAGCTTCACAGGCCAAAGCCAGCCGGCCGCCTGGTTTTGTACATAAGTTTGTATTGGACTGTCTGTGGACAGTCTGTGGTTGCCTCTGCACTCAAATGTCAGAGCTAAGTAACTCAACGAACTCCAGGACCCACAGAGCCTGAAATATTTACTATCTAGTCTTTTATTAAAGAACATTTTCCAACCTCTGCTCTAAACATCAACCACTTAAAAGAACAAAAGAGCCAGGCGTGGTGGCTCATGCCTGTAATGCCAGCACTTTGGGAGGCAGAGGCTAGAGGACTGCCTGAGCTCAGGGGTTCAAAACCAGCCTGAGCAACATGGTATGCCCTCATCTCTACAATAAATCAAAAAAGTAGCTGGGCATGGTGGCACATGCCTGAAGATCCAGCTACTTGGAAGGCTGAGAAGGAAGGATCACCTGAGCCCAGCGGGTCGTGGTTGCGATGGCCATGAGCAGCATACCATGGCAATAGACTGAGACTCCTACTCAAAAAAAATAAATAAATAAATAAAAATCCAGAAAGCCCTCCTGCTTTCTTTCAATCATGTGAAGATACAATCAGAAGATGTCAGCTATGAACCAGAAAGCAGGCTCTCACCAGATACTGAATATGCTGACTCCTTGATCTTGGACTCCTCAGACTTCAGGACTGTGAGAAATAAACTTGTGTTGTTTACAAGGCACCCCAGTCTATAGTATTTTGTTACAGTAGCCCAAACTAAGACATGACATTTATCTCAGCATGCAAATCCAGTCAAGTATCTGACACTGTACCAATGTATCTCTAATGTCACTTTTGTGCTTCACAAATACAACGAATGGACCAGGTACGGTGGCTCATGCCGGTAATCCCAGTACTTTGGGAGGCCGAGGCGATAGGACTGCCTGAGCCTATGAGGTCATGATCAGACTGGACAACATGGCGAGATTCTGTATCTATAATAAATCAAAAAATTAGTCGGGCATGGAGGCACTCGCCCACAGTCCAAGCTACATGGGAGGCTGAGGCGGAAGGACCGCCAGAGCCCAGCAGGTCGAGACTGCAGTGGCCGTGAATGAGCCACTGCACTGCAGCCTGGGTGACAGAGGGAGACTATGACTCAAAAAAAAAAAAAAAATCAAAACGAATGGTCAACGTTAGGAAAATAAAGCATCTGCAAGATTACGAAGTATCTTCTCAATCATCAAAGAAGGACTAAATACATCTCTAGAATTAACTAAATTTCAACACACCACAATCCACTTTTTTCTTTTTTTTTTTGGAGACAGGGTCTCCAGTCTGTTGACCAGGCTGGCGGGCAGTGACACAATCATAGCTCACTGCAGCCTCCACCTCGTGGGCTCCAGTGATTCTCCCACTGCAGCCTCCCAAGTAGCTAGGCTGACCATACGTGTGCACCACCATGCCCTGTCTTTTTTTTTGTGAGACAGAGTCTCACGATGTTGCCCAGGCTGGTAAAGAACTCTTGGGCAAGTGATTCTTCCACCACAGCCTCCCAAAAGCACTATTTTTCGACAGCTGGACACACATACACAGGCATAACACACCACTACTACCACCTTGTTGGAAAAAGGCTTACAGTGCATGAACTTCAAAATCTTTGTTACACTTTCTCTGAAAGGATTATCAAAAAGATATTCAGTTTGTTCAAAAATAAGAACCGTCCACTGCATGGATTACTGCAATAATACAAAGTCTTCAATTAAACTTTCTGTAAATGTCTGATATGTCCAACTACAAAGACAACTTAAGAAAGCACTAGCTCCTAAGAAATAAACAATGTGGCTGGGCTCAGTGGCTCAGCCTGTAAACCCAGCACTTTGGGAGGCCGAGGTGAGTGGATTGCCTGAGTCCACGGGTTTGAGACCAGCCCGGGCAACTTGGTGAGACTTCATCTCTACAATAAATAAAAAATTAGCCGGGCATGGTAGTGCGTGCCTGTAGTTCCAGCTACTTGGAAGGCTGAGGCGGAAGGATCGCCAGAGCCCAGCAGGTCGACACTGGGGTGGCCGTGAGTGTGCCACTGCACTCCAGCCTGGACAAAAGAGTGAGACTCCAACTCAAAAAAAAAAAAAGAAAAGAAATAAGCAATGCTAGTAGCATGCACAATGTGGACTTAAGGCTATAATGCTGCTTCTTCAAGAAAGTTAACACCAAAAAGATATTGTATCAGACCTCTGAACCTATCAGAAATAGGAGACAAAAGGAAGTAGGTACACCACAGACTACTACACTCCATCTGTGCTCCACCCACTCAGAATATTTTTTTTCAATTTAGATATATAGCTCCTAAATTATATATTTAAAAAAGAACTCAGGAGTTTGGCTTTACAGAGAAGTAGTTATACTTTCTCAGCAACAGCAACATTAGTGTAGTGAAAACTTTTGCAATAGCATTTAGAAGTGGTTCACGTCAGCAAACAGTAGGACTTAATTAATGAGTAGATTAATGACAGACAGCAAAACACAACCATAAAAGCTAACTAACCTCAGTCATGCTTTTTGCCTCTTTCAATAACCAGCACTTTCCAGATCAACATACTTGCAGGTTCCTCCTGCAAGATTCCATGGTAATGTCACATGCCATTATCCTCCACAGACTGAGTGACTTCCCAGAAGGATGGCACAAGTCAGCAGACCCAGACAGAGGGGGTAAAGCTTTCTTTTCACAAAAACAGCATGGCATTCTTGAGTGTTCCTGCCAAAATCGAGCACTTGGTAGTGGGGTCTCTTAGTAGGTATCATTAGGCAGTCATCCAAATACATTTCAGATGAATTAAGATGCCACTTTCAACAAAAACCAACATAAGTCAAATTTTAAAAATAAATAAAGACCTTTATGATAGGCTGCCAAATGTTTTAAAATATTTATAGGACTTTCCTGGATTATATATAAACTAAGTTTCAGTCTCTGTGGGAAAAAATGGAAGGAAACCAAAATAAGAAAACTATCAGTCTCTCTACCCTGACATACCACATGAGACCTGAGGGAAACCAGACATGACTTTTAGTAGCAACTGCATAACACTTGCTGCCCAAAGAGTTTAAACATTAGTAGGAAAGTCCCTCACTTTTCCATGAATGAGGTGGAACAATACACATAACGGGCTTCACTTTTTAGAAAAGCCAAAAAAGAAAACATAAGCTAAAACAAATTCCTTAGAAAGTAGTAGCTCCTATCACAAAACAATGCTTCATATTCTACAATGACTTAACGCAAGAGTTCCCTTAGATAGTGGGTATCGTTGTTCATTTAGAATTATCTTGTGTATCTATCCATGAGCAACTTTATATGAGCATCTCTTATGCCTAAAGCAAGGTACACATCTTTTATTTTTATTTATTTGTTTGTTTAGAGTCAAGGTCACACTCTGCTGCACACGTTGGAATGCAGTGGCACCATTATGGTTCACCGGACCCTCAACCTCCAGGACTCAGGCGATTCTTTCCCACTTCACCCTCCCAAGTAGCTGAGACTACAGTCACCACCATGCCTAGCTAATTTTTTGTAGAGACAAGGTCTCTATTAGATTGCCCAGGCTGGACACAAACTCCTGGGTTCAAGCAATCCTTTTGCCTCAAGGCCATTGGGAGGCTGAGGCAAGAGGACTGCTTGAGTCTTCCAAGTAGCCGGAACTACAGGTGTGAGCTACCACGCCCAGGTAATTTTTTATTTATTGTAGAGACAAGGTCTCGCCAAGTTGCCCGGGTTGGTCTTGAACACACGGGCTCAGGCAATCCACTTGCGTCGGCCTCTCAAAGTACTGGGATTACAGGCTGAGCAACCGAGCCTGGCCACATTGTTTATTTCTTAGGCGCTAGTAGTGTTCTCTTAAATTGTCTTTAAATTATAGTCATGAGTCACCGCACCTGGCCCAAAGGACACATCTTTTAATCTCTACAATTAACAAAATGCAAACTAAAGCACTTAACTAAGTTAAGCTGCCTGAGATTAAAAGTAAGTCTATGCAAGAACTGTGCACAAAATTCAAATTCTGGACCCCTCCATGCAAGAAGACTACAATGAACAGCAATATAAAAACTAACTAGCAAAAGATTCTGAATGTACAGTTCAGTGTTATTTCTGATGGTTTGCTGCCATCTCTGATAAGGTTGATAAACAAACAAGAAGACAAAAAAGTAATACTAATTTCAAAACTAAATTACCCCTAAGAAAAGGCTGAGAATCAGCCGGGCGCGGTGGCTCAGCCTTTAATCCCGAGCCTTTGGGAGGCTGAGGTGAGTGGATTGCCTGAGCCCGCGGGTTCGAGACCCGCCTGGGCAACTTGGCGAGACCTCATCTCTACAATAAATAAAAAAATGAGCCGGATGTGGAAGCGCGCCTGTAGTTCCAGCTACTTGGAAGGCTGAGGTGGAAGTATCACCGGGGCCCAGCAGGTCGAGGCTGCGGTGGCTGGGAGCAGCTACTGCATTCCAGTCTGGGCGACAGAGCGAGACTCCAACTCAAAAAAAAAAAGAAAGAAAAGGCTGAGAATCAAAGTCAATGTCCATTAAAAATATATGTGTGAGTTGAGGGTTACGCAGCGACAAGTGGGGTTCTGTCTGGAAGTGTGGAGGACTAATAATGGACACCCAGAAAGATGTTCAATCCCAAAGCAGCAGCCAGTGATATATATCTGTGAAGAGTGTCACACAGAAAATGAAATAAAATCTAGGGATCCAATCAGATACAAAGAATGTGGATACAGAATAATGTACAAGAACAGGACCAAAAGTTTGGTGTTTGATGCTCGATGAAACCTGGAAATTCAGAAGAATGTCTTCTCTTATCACTTGGATTTGCCCTGTTGACGTTTCTCACTTTTGTGTAGCTTTGGTTTTGCATACAGTAGTCTCCCCTTATCCTTGGGGGATACATTCCAAGACCCCCAGTGGATGCCTGAAACCTTGGATAGTACCAAAGCCTTTATACACTATGTTTTTCCAATGCGTACATACCTAAGATAAAGTGTATAAATTAGGCACAGTAAGAGATTGACAATAATAACTAATAAAATAGAACAATTATAGCACCATACTGTAATAAAAGTTACATGAATTAAAAAAATACGTGTGTGTGTGTGTGTGTGTGTGTGTGTGTGTGTGTGTGTACAAGCGTGGAGCTACATATACTTGCATACCGATCACACATAAACCTCCTGAGAATGGGTTTGAACTAGGCAGACAGGTATCAGAAATGCAGCATCACAGTGAGGTGCTTACCAGGACAAACAATGATTTCTTCTGCAGAACTCTCTGGCATAAGGACCGAGCTGCTCTTACTGGTCAAAGCAGCGATGCTGAAAAAGAACCAAACCCCAAATGAACTCCTAGTAAAATAAGTCAGAACACAGGGCCAAAAGCAATGGTGAGTCATCCACAAAGCCACAGGTAACCCGATACCTGCTGTCTAATACCACAAAAGCACAACAGGAAAGCAAGGAATCAGTAGTGAAAACTCCAGGCAAGAAATCTGGAAAATAAACATGCTCACAACTCCAGTTCCAGCGAAATCACTGAATGAAAAGAAACCCCCTTTTGGAGTTTTCACAAAGGAAGGCTGAAGGGTAAGAACTATCTGTGAATATCATAGAAGACAAAAACTCCACTCCAACATGTGGATGTCAAAGGTGTTTTCCAGCCTCCATCTTAGCCTTCGGAAGGCTAGAGATTTGTAAACTCACAAGCCGGGCATGGAGACTCTTCTGACAGCACACTAGCTTTCCACTCACCTTGCAGTTACATTTTCTCTTTATCTCAAGATGTGGCTTTCCAAGCAACAAACATAAAATACAATTCCAAACTGCCCTACAGCAAAAATCTGCCCACACAAACTGAATATCTCTTCCAAGAAAAACTTAATTATGAATGGCCTCCCTCATCCAACCTTCTGGTTTTCCCTGCCTGCCCACGGAGCACAATCTCCTCCTGACACAGGAACACATGGCTGAAGATCTGAGCATCTGAGCTAGCCCCCTCATGCTTCACAGAGCTTTATGATTAGTTTGATCAAGTATGCACGAAGATGCTTAAAACACAAATCCACACATCAACCAAAAACCACAGAGAAGAGAGAATAGCTACCACTGACTCATGATAAATAACTGAATCCTGATAGGAAACCACAAGTGATTTCTCGCTCTAAATAAAACATCTCATGGCATTTGTTATAAAACCAAGCCAGACATAGTTTATTCTGCATGTAACATTAGGGCTCTATTCAAAGGGTCCATCACAAAACAGTTTTCTGACATTTATAAAATGGGCTAATCAATTTGAAGTCAAACCACATTGCCTGTGATTCCAACTCTCTCCTGGTGACAAAGCGTATAATCATTTATTAAAACCTACATCTGTTCTGCACAAAGCTCACCACAACAAAGCGGAGAGGCCTACAGGGAGCAGAAAGCCTACTCCAGTGAAAACCACTTCCAAAACTGTCTTAACAGCAGGAGAAGCAAACCAAAGCCAGATTCTTCAGCCCAGGAAGAAATACCTAGCACTATCACCAAGTCTAAGAAGGCACGTCACGATTCCATCAAATGGCAACTGGGCCTCAACTTCCATATGGGAGATGACAGGCACACAATACAAAATTCAGCTCTTGAGAAATTCTCAAAACTTAACCATCAGATAAAGAGGGAAAGAGGAAAGTGACTGGAAGCCCGCTCCAGTTAAAAGCGCACTTTATAATCAATCAACTGCTATCTACTATTAAAGTAAGAAGATGCAGACAGTAACCCCATCAATCAATCAGCCAGAACAGTGGAAGAGGTAATGCAAATACAACCCTCTATGAGAGAGATGAGACACAAACAGATTAAAAGTGGCACAGGACAGAGGCTGAGAGCGATACAGGTTCCGTGAGGACTGAATAATATGAAGGTTTCAAAGAGGATGTAAGTCTTCAGAGTGAACTTGACAGATGCACAAGGTTTACATATGCAGATAAAATAAGCATAAGCAGGAGAAAGGGGATAGGAAGAAAAAAAGGAGCACAAAGAAATCAGTCTAGACCTTCAAACTAGCATGGAAAGCTGGGTAGTCAGGAGAGCGGCAGGATGTGAATGGATTTATGCCAGGACTGCTGGGCTGCCCAAAGAGACCTTGGAGATCTCTACCACCCCAATACTCTGGGTCTCTGTGAGATGCAGACTGCAAACTTGGACATAATAATGACCTCTCCGAAAGAGCTAGCGGCTCTGTGGCAAGCAGGCCACCCACTGTCTCACTCCTGTGGTTCGTCCTCATAAGCCACACTGTCGGCGTGAATCAGAGGCACAGCAACGTGTAATCTCACCTTTGGGAGGCAGGCCCAGAGCTCCCCTCTTCAGGAGATTCTTCAACAAATAGCCCACGGAAAGACTGCAAAGAAACATGGAACATCCTGAATACACAGGCACCGAGGAGCCAGTTTCTCTTCCTTTTTGTAAAAAAAAAAGAAAATGAATTGTTCACCGTTATCACTCAACAATTAACAATGAGAACAAAACATCTGCCATGAGTCAGTAACTTTCAGTAAAAAGAGCATACCCTGTGGGGTCAGAAAACTGGCATTGAAATTAGAGCTAAATCACCTAATAACTTTGTAATCTTGGGTAAGTCACATCTGAATCTCTATTCTCATCTTAAAATGGGTATTAACAATTGTCTTACAGAATGCTACTGTGAGAATTAACAAGATAATGTATGCAATGTACTTTGTAAAATCCAAGACCTATATAAATATTAATTGGTTAGTAAAATGAACTATGATTTCAGAAAAACAACCATAAAGCCTTTTTGCGAAAAAGAAACATATAAAGGAAAGTCCAGTTTCTAAGGGAAACACCGAGCTGGGATAACCACTGCAATCTGTGAAGTCTTTCTGGGAATAACCAAGCCATAACACAGGACATCCAAAGGGAAGGCTATTAAGAGTCTTCCTGCTACAACAAGTCTGAAGCTGTGGTTTTCTTTTTTATAGCTGGCCACAGGGATGTCTGCAAAGAAACGTAGTAAAGAGGGACTGCATAAGGAAAAGACTGTTTTCATTAATTAATGGTAGAGGTGGTCCAAATACCAACTCATTAAGCGCAGATGCACGGAAGCTTAGAAAAAGCAGCCCCTGCTGCCCTTGGCAGTCATCGGAGCAAGGGCCTAGGTGTTTTCCACTAGGTGCGGAGGCACTCGCTGGAGTGTTCAGGGCTTCCTAAGGGGATATAAATAACCTGAACAAGTTAGGCATCTCTCTACCCCTCAGGTAAATGATGAAATATATTTTCAAAAAACAGGAATAGCTGAGTTGAGTCTTCAGTCAAAAGGAAGGTCAAAATGTATGATGACAGGGAATGCAGTCATTAGGAAGAGCTGAACAAAACTACTGAAGGACTACAACATAACAGCGATAAATACTTAAACTGACTGAATTCAGCAGTGACAAAAAAGGGCAAATACTGACACCTAGTGTCCCTTTAATAGAACTGGACATTCTTAAGTCAGGTTTCAGAAGCAAGGTGCTAGCAAGTAAGACATCACCATCTCTGCTTTAGGTTAAAGCAGATTTCCAACTTTCCCAGTGTAATTGTTTTAAAAAAGCATTGTGTATCTATTAAGTGCCAGGCCTGTGCTAACTACTTTACATGCATTACACCTCCTTTAATTCTCACAAGAACCTTATGAGGCAAAAGCTATCAAATTATTTTAGAAATGAAGAAAAGTGAAGCATCAATAGGTTAAAAAATTTGTCCCAAATCACACAGTCGGCCCAAAGTGGAGCTGGACCCGCGTGACTCCAAAACCCAGGCGTCAAGCACTACTGCTACTTTGTTTACTCAAATGACCTCTTCCCAACCACTGCAACACAGAATCTTGAGAACATCTTCTCTTCAGTAGACCATTTTAACTTCTAAACTTATACCTTAACGGCAGTAATGTGAACACAAGGGGTTCCAGGACAGCAAAACAAGCAAATAAAATTTAATTTGACTACCCAAATCTAGTCAAGATAAACAGGAAAGCATGACAGGAATAAAAATTTAACAAAGGAAGCTGTGGTCTTATCAAGACAGGCTTCTGCCTGAAAAAATATGACATAAATGGAAAAGGAACAGCTTGCATTGAATCTAAAAGAGAAAAATACAAAGATCCAGAATCAAAGTGTGTCCTCAACTGTGTGGCCTGAGAAGTGAAAGTGAACAGACACATCATCTGGTCATCACAGAAATGTCCTCTGCGAGGACAGTGGTGACTTCTCAGGCCTTTCCAAAGACTAGTTGAACGATTCCTTAAAATTCTACTTTCTGCCAGGCGCAGTGGCTCAAGCCTATAATCCCAGCACTTTGGGAGCCGAGGCAAGAGGACTGCCTAAGCACAGAGGTTTGAGACCAACCTGGGCAGTTTGACAAGACCTCATCTCCACAATAAATCAAAAAATAAGCCAGGCTTGGTAGCACGCACCTGTAATTCCAGCTACTTGGAAGGCTGAGGGGGAAGCATCCCCTAAGCCCAGTAGGTTGAGGCTGCGGTGGCAGTGATAATGCCATTGTACTCCAGCCTGGGCAAGTGAGACTATGACTAAGCAAAAAAAAAAAAAAAATTCTGATC